AAGTTTAACTCTGAAAATTGTTTTTCACTCTCTTTTTTTTTATTAAATTGTGTTCACTATATAGATTATACGTATTTGTTTATAAAGAGTTGAAATTTTCATATTATTTTCCCAAATGGAGTCTTATTATTTTACCTCATAACCATCTCTGCATATACATTTAGAAAATGAAAAAGAAGAAATTATTCTTAAACATCCTACATAACAGACTCTACTTTTTTGATATACAACCACCAAAATGTATGTTGATGACATCAAAATTATAATTTATTAATCTAAGCACTTATTAACTTCTTCGTGAAAAATGTAACTTAACACATTTTAATGAACTAAAAAACGCAAAAAGCAAATTTATTTATCATCAAAAACTGTTTCATATGGATTATTCATATCTATAAGTAGAGCTAGCATTGTTTATTCGAGTAACATCATAAATTTAAAACTATTTTCTTATCTCTAACTTGAGAAAAATAAATAGTATATACTCATAAGACAAATAAGCATGGCCAAGTTTAACGTTGTTATGGTGTCTTTCGTTGTCCTAGTTCTGACCAGTACATGTATTCCTTCATTAGCTGTAGAAGAAAATGACCCAAAAAAGTTATGGGATAAATGTGTTGTTAAAATCAGTTCAGGGTGTGCGCTCAAGGTCATTTCTCAAATTTTTGGAAACGGAGTTGTAACCGATCCATGTTGTCAGGAACTAGTTCAAGAAGGAAAAGAGTGCCATGACAAACTTGTCAAGTATATCGCGGATAGACCTAGTTTAATCGGAAACGAATCCAATTATCTAAAGAAAAGAGATGAATTGTGGGCTCACTGTGTGTCGGTNCGGATAGACCTAGTTTAATCGGAAACGAATCCAATTATCTAAAGAAAAGAGATGAATTGTGGGCTCACTGTGTGTCGGTTTCAAAAGCGTCAACACCGGCATAAATATATTCTGCCATAATTATATGTGATTTTTGTAAAATTTATTTGTATCTATTTACAAGATCAAAATAAAATCATTTATATATTCATGTGATATTTAATATTTATCTTCTTGTGTTGCTTGGTTTCTTTTGCATTGATTTTTTCATTTTTCTCACTTTATATACAAAACAAATAGCTCTAGTGAAATTTTCAAACTTAATATTTGAAAAACCAATAAGTAGTCACAGTTTTATTTAACATAAATGGCAAAATATCTAAAACACACTTCTATTTGTAATCATACAAATCTAGTCTTTCACGATGTCAATCCTTATGTCCCCAGCAAGCAGGTCAAGGAATGATAGCAAGAGTGCTTTACGAGAAAGAACCCCTTTTTTTTCTTTGACCTTGACCTATCTCTTGCTTTGCTCGTTTAACACCTTGACTGGCTAACTAAGAGACTAGTACCCTTTCTGACTGAACCTCTGTGTTGCCACTTTGGTTAGGAAAGTCTTCTAACCGGGCATAGTTAAAAATGTTATTAATATATATTCTAAATATATATTTATTTAAAATAAGTATATTAATACTAAATTTTATGATAATTATAAATTATATATTGCTATTGTTCTATCAATCATTTTATTAAAAAGAAATTAGTAAGATCATACATCTTCTACAGTATAGTGCTTCTACAGCATACTGCTATTATTTTATTATCATATGTACTAATTGAGGCCTAAAACCTTTACATGCCTGTTAACTTTTGATTTTTTCTACCTTGGCCGCCTCCGTTTATGGGATTTTTGAAACATAAAAATGGCTAATTTTTGAGAAAGAGAAGAACATTGGTATTTAACAAGATTGCATAATAATATCCATTTACTCCGTTAAGTAATAATGAAGCATGTTCATAATACCTCCTGCATTACGCTTAATATATAATATTTCTAAACGGAGAAACCATTCATCTCTGATTCTCTCATTAATTCTCTTTCCAGTCAAATATTATCACATCTTCTCAAAAATAACTTTTGCTTTTGCTTCGGTTGCTAAAGTCGTTGTATGTGTCTCAACTTTTGATTCTCTTTACTTTGGTCGAACTGCTCAGTTTATGGTTGTTTGTCGCTTCCGTTTATGGGATTCTCAGAATATAAAAAAATGACAAATTTATAAGAATTAGAGAAGATTGAGAAGAACCTTTGACATTTAACAAGACTGCATAATATTTGCGGATATATAGAACTTTTGAAAACTTTATTGACTAATACAAAAGACTTCACACGCTATATCAGTCCAACTTATATGTCAAACATCAAAAGATATAATAAAATTATAGAAATCAATTATATCTTCGAAACCGCGTTTGCGCGGGGACTATTATAATGGTTGAGTTTCAAAACTCGTGTAAGATCTGCGTGTTATTCCATCTGGTCAACCACGTTATCAATGTGTTTTGATTTGGTATAATTATGTGTGGGTTGGTGTGAGTTTGTAATTTATATTTAGAAGCCCTTACTAAAGCATGTAGCCAAAGATAACAAAACTCAGCATTTAGGCTTAGGTCATGAGGCGTCTAGTCTGTTATTGAACTGTTATGTTGACTACTGAACTTCAGTGTGTCATCCATTGTTTGAGGAAAACTAGACATTCCCCTTCATCTTTTACCTCCCATGTCTCTTCATCTACATCTCTTGTTTACCCTATTTCAACGTTTTGATTTCACATATCTAATGAATCTTTTGTTCTCATTAAACTTATTCACTCCCACGACTCTCCGTCTCCTTTTATTTACGATCCAAACTTTATTCGTTTTAAAATCAGAAGAACAATTCAAACTCTATAAATAAATAAATAAAAAGAAGATTTGTGAGTCCAATCCACATACACTGAAACCCTCTATTCTTCCATCTATTTGCCAAAAGCCAGACGCCTCCTTCAAAAATGTCTTCCCATGTGTTATTAGGCCTGCAATTTACAATCTCACACAAGTGTGAAGAAACAGCTGCATCTGCCAGCAACATTGTTGCAGCAAGAGATGATGAACCAAATCCTGTCGGTTTTGCAGCATAAGAGAATGGCCGCTAATGCACGCATGAATGATAGTTTCAATTTGTATGTTCTGTATTTTCAGAGTTGTTATGATTTTGAATCCATTACATATATGATTTTTCACTTCGGTTTTTCTCTTTAATTTCCGGAAAACTATCTCCTATGAAGAGGATAATTACTAAGTTTTTATTTTAAAAATGGGAAAGTCGCATAAAAAAACTTCAAGGTGGCAACCACTTACACTTTAAACCCTAAGAATATTTTACAAGCACTTTAAACACTCAAGTTGGCAAATTTAGCATATTAAACCTCTAATCTAGCTTACTTATACATCAAGTTAAAAATGTAATCGGTACTGTTCAAAAGCAATGACGTGTCGGTTTGTTATTTTTTTAAGTATTTTACTAATAAATAAATATAAAAATAAAAAAAATAGAAAATTCATTAAAAATTCAAAAAAAAAATCATAAACATTAAAAATCACAAAATAATTAAAATACTTTATAAATAGAACATTAAAAATAGAAAATATTAAAAATAACAAAAACTTAAAAGAAATTATAAGAAAATCTCAAAATAAGAAAGTTCACAAAAAAAAATAAATAATATAAAAATTAAATTTATAAAAATAAATATAAGAATAGTAGATAAAGTAAATATAAATTCAAGAATAAATAATTTTATTTGTTCTATAAAAAATGAGAGAACTCTATATTTTTTAAAAAAAAAGAATCATTATATTCAAATGATTCTCGTGAACCAAATTAAAGCAAACAAATTAAGATCCAAGTCTTTTAGCACCTAAACTTTCACTTGCACAAGTTTTTTTTTTAAATATATTGTTATTTGTTTTTCGTGTCACTATTATATTATATATATATATATATATATATATATATCATATAACTAATTGCATTTGATATGTACCATCAAATGATTCTCGTGAACCAAATCAAAGCAAACAAGTTAAAATCCAAGTCTTGTAGCAGTTATTAAAATACCCTATAGTAATCTAGTTGTAAAATCTAGAAAACCCTGACTAATAAGCACTAAATAACAGTGTATTCTCATTTTCTTTATAAAAAATATTTTTTTCTATAATTTATATTTATTTCATATATTATTATTATTATATTTATTTTATTTTTTTTATTTTTTTTTAACTTTTGTGAATTTTCTTATTTTGAGATTTTTTTATAATTTCTTTTAAGTTTTTGTTATTTTTAGTATTTTCTAATTTTATTAATAAAATATTTTATATATTTTGTGATTGTTTTTTAATGTTTATGATTTTTTGACTTTTTTGAATTTTTAATGAATTTTTATATTTTTCTGTAGTTTTATATTTATTTATTAGTAAAATATTTTTTAAAAAAATAAAAAACAAACTGACACGTCATCGCTTTTGAACAATATCGGTTACATTTTTGACTTGATGTGCAAGTAAGCCAGATTGAAGGTTTAATATGCTAAATTTGCCAGCTTGAATGTTTGAAGTGTTTTTTAAATACTCTCAGTGTTTAAAGTGTAAGTGGCTGTCACCTTGAAAGTTTTTTATGCAATTTTCACTTTTAAAAAGACAGTGTTAACTGCATTTTGCATATTGATAAGGTCCACAACTAAATGCATGCATCAATCATTACACGTTACATGGTGACATGCATTCCTAAAGAAACATAGCTCATGTAAATATTGAATAAATGTCTGCTCTATAGCCATGCACTCAGAGACTAAGAGCATAAAGCTCTTGGTTTGTTTCTTTTCTTTTTAAAAAAGAATTTTCGATGTTTAGATGAAAACAAATGTAAACAAGCTAAATAGGTTAAAACAACATATTAATACCATAATATACACATATATAACCAAATTCATTAAAACAAATAAAACATAAAACATAAAACAATTTATCTTTATATCAACAAACATTCATCTACAAAATATGACCACAGTCTTAAAAAAACTTTTCCAACACATGAATCACTCTTTCATGGATAAAAACAACACAACACTAACGTTGATAAGTGGACGATCCCTAGTAATAATAATAATAATACAACAACAAAGATTACTTGCCCAGAACAAAAAACAAACTAAAAATTACATTAGTAATAATAATAATAATACAGCAACAAAGATTACTTGCCCAGAACAAAAAAAAACTAAAAATTACATTAAATATCTGCCTAAGATAAGAAAGAAGACAAGAAGAACCCAGGACGAACTAGCTGGAAGGGGATGCCGTTGATAAACTTTTCCCACACATGACAATCTTCAACAACGAATGTAATCGTACCCTTCTCCTCCTCACCTTCTTCAATCTCGATACCTACAATTCCAAAAAGAAATCATTTAGAAAACATTAACCAAAAAAAAAAAATCAAACTTACGTATTGAGAAAATAAAGGTTATGTATTCGTTGACCTTGCGGCGTACGCTTCTCGACGCTTTCCAACATATCAAGCTTCTTGAACTAGACTCAAGTCTCCTGTAAACAAAAATTTAAATAATATTAATTACGAACCAAATCGAACAAACAAAAACTTCGGTTAGTATTCTATTCTTACAGATTCTCATGTTCAAGCTTATCTGCAATCAACATCGCTTTGCGTTTCGACCAACTGTTCCCTTCAGCTTGCTTAATCACCTGACCAAACGAGGCTTTTCCTCTCACAATGCTCGCTTCCAAGTCTTTCCTTCTAGAAGATTCAGTCTCATCATCCAATTCAACGATCTCGCTAACGTCTTTCATGTCTTTCTTCGACTCGATTCTAATCTCTAGCGTGACCGGAGAACCAAGAACAACCTCAAACGCTCTCAAAATGTTCTCTCTAAAATTCTCAGCCGTTAGTTTCGTTACTGGCGAGTTGAACATTAACTCCACCGTAGGATCTGCAAACACACTATAAAGTTATAATCATTATCAAAACATTACATTACTTCAAAGAAAAGCTTTTTTATTTTTTTTACCTAAACCGATACTAATAGAAAAGATCTTCCCTTCTCGATAAAGAAACTCTCTTAAACCATTAACTCGAACATTCTCTATAACCGCTAACCAAATATCTTCAACCGAAGGTCGCGTTTTGCTACAATCTCTAGTTTCCGCTGCAGATTTGTTACAAGGACTAGGTGGAACCAAGTAGCGTTGATCAGGAGCTAGCTGGAGCAATGCAGCAGTTAGCCATGTTACTTTATCGTTTGATACTCTCAACTGTTTTTCTGATTCAGACAACGTTTTCAACGCTTGTCTCAGCTTCTCCATATCTTCTTTACTCACTTCAAAAATAAAAGATTAGTTTGTTATTACCGTTGTCAGATACTTCTCAGTTAGACATGAAGACAAGATTTGAGAAACTTACATGGTTGTCTGAAAAACTTTCTTTTACCCTCTTCTTTAGTGAAGTCATAGCTTCCGGCAAGGACATCAGTTATGACTGTTGCGAGCTGCGACATTAAAGCTAATGGTTCTACGCCAGTTTCCATTATTACTCTCAGATTCTTCACTGTGTTCACAGTATCTGCTGATAAAGCTAGATCAAGAAGATCTACTAACTTCTCATCAGAAACTAATCCAACCTTAAAAAAACAACATATAATGTCAAAGAAAACTATTGAAATAAATTTGAACCTTTAGAAAAAATGTTTCGATCATTACCATTTCTTGAACTAAAGGAAGAGAGATTCTTGTTCCAAGCAAGCTCAGCTGTTCTAGAGTCATCTCCGCGTCTCTCAAAGAACCATCTGACCTCGAAGCAACAAGCTTCAACGCATCTTCATCAATCTCAATCTCTTCCTTCAACGCAATCCCTTGCAAAGAACCAACGATATCAGCGTCTTTAAGCTTAGGGAAAAAGAACTTCTGACACCTCGACACAACAACGTGAGGCAACACATCAAGACTCGCGCAGACAAGAATAAAAACCACACGACGAGGTGCTCTGTCCACAATTTTCGAAAGCGCATTCCAACAATCCGTTGACATAGTATCACAATCATCGAATATAAACACAAGGTGGTGCTTCTGCCTCTTCTTCTCCTGAGAGATGATCAGACTCTCAAAGTCGAAACTTTTCACAGGACCCATCTCTTGAATGTTTCTGTTCTTACCGTTATCATACGAAACACAAGAGCTGCATACACCGCAAGGCTTTGTCTGTTCCATAGAATGACAGTTCAACGCTCTAGCGAAAACTCGAGCGCATGAAGTCTTCCCGGTTCCGTTCGGACCGTGGAAGACATAAAGAAGTCCCACTCTTCGTTTAGCAACAGCGTTAGACAAAGCTTGTACCACCAAACTCTGCCCCACGAGGTCTTTGAACGTTCTTGGTCCATACTTCTGCGTAAAACTTTGATGCAGACGAGTATTTCTATGGCTACGTCTCTCACCAGAGTCTGAATCTTTACCATTCTTGAGAAGATCGTCAGCGAAGACACCTAATTCTCCTGAGTAATCATGTTGCCAACGTTCATTGTCAGCGCTATCTACTAAAAGAGGCGTTGATTTGGTGAAAGAGGAGCTTGAATCAGATGACATTGGCATATCTGTTAACCCTTTTCTTCCCTTTGAATCTGACATTCCACAAGATAAACTCCTTCCAGCTATATCTAGAAACGTTCTGCCTCTATGATGAATCCTTGACCAATTAAACGGAAGTCCACACCCGTTTTCTGGATCTGCTCTAGCCATTTTCTGTTCTTTTTCTTTTTCCTCGTACTTCTGAACATTGTCTCTAATAGTAACCGCCCTTCCCGCTCTCCTCTTCCCTCTAAGTTTCCGCCTATTACGCCCATTTCGAACAGTACAACTATCACCTAATAACTGATCAGACAGAGGCTTGACAATAGAATCTTCGACTCTATAACTCTTCTTCCTACTCGACCCATCCAGCTTTTCATCAGACGGAGTTACTTTAGATGTACCAAAGCTAACTATTGGAGACGAACTACACATCTTATGACCAGGTTTCTTACCCACATTCTGATCAACAGAGCTTCTACTTCTTCCTTCCTTGTGATCTTCTTTCATCCTGGGGCTAGCAGATGGGTCTCTGAGTGATCTTGATCTCTGAAGAAGGACGAGGTCTCTCATAAGAAGAGACCGGTGTGTTAAAACCGGACTCTGTTTGCTGTTGTTGTTGTTGTTGTGTATATGATTCTTCAAGTGGATACAGTTGGTTAAATGAATATGGTTACGAAGATGCTCACTGATGTCTCCGTTTGCATCTTTGAGAATCCGAGAAGAAGCAATCCTAGTAGTCATTGATCAGAAGAAGAAGGGTTCTGTTTTCTTGGACAGAAGAAGAACTGATCATTTTCTTGTCTGAAAATCTTTGATCTTTCCTAATTTGGTAATAATAGCTCTGATTTGCCCCCAAGATTCACTGAACTTACCAAAAACAAACAGCTTAGAGAAACAAACAGGGTAAGTAAAGAATCAGTCAAAGATTTGAGTACCCATTTGAATAAAAATGAATTCTTTGGTACAAAAAAAAATTCAAACTGTTGTATTGAGACCGAAGACAAAAGCAAAACTGAAGGGTCCTTTTCAAAGAGAGAGATTGGAAGTGGGAACCCACCACAGAGCAATAAACGCCGAAAAAGAGAGAACAAGAGAACGAGACCGTTTTGGAGAGAAGTCACGGATGTCTGTCTTTTTTTTCTTTAACCAAACTTTCACATGAAAAACCTGAAGAGGTTTCTGTGGAGAAAGCGATAGTTTCTTTGTTGTCAGTGTAAGAAAGCAAGGAAAACGCTGTCTTCGAGAGAGGGAGAGAGAGTTTAATGGGTTTGTGTGTTTTTTTGAACTTTTAGAGAGAGAAAGAGTGGGAATCTAGAGAGAGAAAAGTGAAGGGTGTGTTTTGAGATCTGTTTACAGACACGAACACAGAGGCATTCTGAGAGGAAGCAGAGCACATTGCCAAATAAAGCTGTTTTGTTTGCTTGCTTGAAAGTGAAACAATAAAATACAACAAATAAAGAAACAATAAAGGGAGTAACAAATAGTAAAGAAATTACTCGATAAAAGAGAAAATGTTATTTGGTTTTAGATAAAAAGCGAGACCAAAGACTTGGAAACCTTTGAATTTTGCTAACCTTTTGGTGTGATTATTCGGAATGTTATAAGACTATAGAGTTTGAAAAGCAAGTCGAATCTTGTGTGGTACTTGTCAAAAGTTTTCAAAGTTAAAAAATGACAAATATGTTTAGGCTGTTTGACCTACAACAAGAGGTTATTCAGTTTTATACTCTCTCTCTCTATTCCATCACATGAGTAAATGTTTAATTTTTATTTTACTAAACTTTACAACTTTCGATGTGATTCATAGTCGGATGAGATCTCGTTTTATTGCGATGGAACTCTCCGACGTGAAGATAGAACGGTGAAGAACATATATGGTTTCGTTGGAGGCTCTCCGGAAAATAGAGATAAGACATCGTTAAGATTCATGTCCGGTGAAGAGGTTGAGGCTGCGCGGCGGCGGAAAAAGGGAAGCTGTTCCTGATTAGGGTTTTGGTTGTTGGGATTAAGGTCCACTTTTGCGTTTCTTTAGTTTGGCTATTTGTCGGACCTTTTTAGCTTATGTATGTTGTTGGACTTTGGGTTAAGCCCTTTATTTTTAAAAAATCAATTTGGAAAAAAAAAAAACTTTACAACTTTGTGTAAAAGTTAAAATTATTTAATTTTGATAACCATTTATATTCTCTAGTATTTGATGTGATTGGTAATTTATTTTTTAATAAATATTAAATAATATTTTAATTGATTTTATATCTAATCTCGGAGTGAAAATTAAAGAAGGCATACTCATTCCGTTTTAATTGAGTTGTCCCATTAACAAACTATTACATTACATGACTATTTTTCATTTTTTATTCTCATGAATATTCAACAAAATCATATATCCCTTATATATTAAAGGAGAAACATTTAAAAAATTATAACCTCAGTTTTGTAATAATTAAAAAAGATCTCATGCTTAGGTGTCACTCAATTAGGTAATCAATTACATCCAATTGAAAAAATAAGTAGGTCCACATTCGTTTTTTATATGTCGCTAGATACATTCGCTGGTAAAATTATATGATATGATGATATGATATGATATTTATGATAGAAGCATTTATGATTGTTCCCCTATATATAATAACTATTTTATTTTCTTTCCATAAATAAAACCTACGAAATTACTATAAATGACTAATATATATATATATATATATATATATATATATATATATATATATATATATATATCACTTAATGATTGTCCTCCTAGATATAATTACTATTTTATTTTCTTTCCGTAAATAAAACCTACAGAATTACCATAAATGACTAATATATTATATATATATATATATGACACTTAATGATTCTAATAATAAATATTTGATAACAGTTTATATATCCTCCATCATTTTTAATTTTTAAAATAAATTAAAAAATCAAATTAGCTATAAAATTAAACTTTAGATTTCTTCGTATAGGTTATATTTTGCATTTTAAAAAACGAGAACAAATAACTAAACTATTAAAATTATTATGTTAAAAATTAATGATCAATAGTATAACATTTTTATTATAAAATATATACATGATTTTAAAACCATATAAGTAAAAATTATCATTCAATAATAAAACAAATACATATACAGATTAAACTATATACCATATAAGATTACATAAATATTTTAATTTCAAAATTTTCAATAAATTTTCAAGAACATTTATAAATTATAAACTTATTAAATTTTTCACATTGAAAATTTTTGTTATCAATGATTTAAATATCTTAGTTCTTTTTTTTTAATTTTATATTTTTAAAAGATATTAACAATCGATAATATAGTTATTTTTGGTATATACCATACAAACCGAATGGATGTGATTTAATAAAAACCATAGGATTTGGATATGGTTTGATTTATAACCGATTAAACTGAAACATGTAAATATATATATATATTTATAACAATGCATGAATATTTATTTGTTACATGAGTTGAACTATAATTATAATTTGTAAATAACTAACAATTTTTTACAACTGAGACTTCTTATTTTGATCTTTTGTTTTTTTAACAGTAACTAAATTGAAGTAAAGATTATAAATTTGATGGACAACAATTAGTTGAAATTTTTTACAATTTTTTTTATCTTTAAACAAACATAGTTGTGTTCAATCGGAGACATATTGGTTTGATGAACACTAAATATGAAAGAATATAAAAACTTTTCTTTCATGCTTCTGTTTTGTTTTTTATTTTTATTTTCAAAATTTAGTGTTTTGATATTAATTCTAGATTTGATCATTTTATTAGATGATAGAAGCCTTTTTGTTTTTTATTATTTTTATTTAAATATATAATATTTTTTTAATAAATGACTCTGTGACAATATGACTCTAAATATGATCATATTATATATATGTATAATATATAATATGATCTCAAACTAAATAATTATGTTTTTTGGTATAAAATTGAATAAACTGAAAACCGATGGTATATAAACTAAATCAAACTGAAGTACATATAGATTTAGAATAGTAGTTATATTATAATGATCGAAATACTAAAAAATCGAGCCGAGCCGAAACTCGCTATCCGGATGGAACACCTCTAATCCGAATGAAACCGAACTATTGTTTCATTTTTCAAAACATAATAAAAATAATAGTTTCATCCCGCGCAAGGCGCGGGTCTTATCCTAGTTCTATTTTAAAAGAAAAGAAAAAAAGAAAATTACATTAGAAAAGATTGTATGATCTAGGGCTGGGCAAAAAAACCGAAACCCGAAAATCCGAACCGAACCCGACCCGATAAAAAGGAATCCGAACCGATCCGAATCCGACATAAATACCGAATGGATCTTGTTTTACGGTATTTCGGGTTATGGGTTTTATCCGAACCGAACCCGAACTTAAATGGATATCCGAAAGAACCCGAAACTTTAAAATTCCAAAAAAACTTATATCATACTTAATCTAAATTTCTAATATGTTTCCAAAACACATTAATATATTATTGAATACCTATAATAATTAGTNTATCCGAAAGAACCCGAAACTTTAAAATTCCAAAAAAACTTATATCATACTTAATCTAAATTTCTAATATGTTTCCAAAACACATTAATATATTATTGAATACCTATAATAATTAGTTATGATATGAATAATTAACTCAAATATTTAGTATAATATATAGTGTTATTTGGCTGTTACTAATGTTTATGATTGACACTACATTTGAAGTTAAGTTACGAATAAATTTGTTTTGAAGTTTAAATAATGTTGTTTTTAAAATTTTCAATATTACTTCTTACGTTTATATAATTGTTAGCTGTTAATTTTAAATTTTAATGTTTCATTATGTATGATTTTCGATTATACAAGACTTTGGTTTATCATTAATCATGATATGTTTAGTGTTGTCACATATAGTTCAATGACAAATCTTATATTGTTGATAGATGAGTTTCATAATATTATTTAGAAGCAGAACAATACGGTTTGTAGAAGCTAAATACACAATTTAATAAAAAGATTAAAAATATAATGAATTTAATTGAGTATAAATTAGTATTTTTAGAATCGATAACCCAATAAGTATCCGAAACCGAAACAATTTGGGGTTCAATTGGATTTTGGACATGGTACTAAATCCGAACCGAACCCGATTAAACCCGAACCGAATCCGACCCGAATTTTTATAATATCCGAATGGGGCTGAAATTCATGAACCCGAAAACCCGAAACCCGAATGAACCCGAACCGAAACCCGATTGGGACCCCGAATGCCCACCCCTAGTATGATCTGACCTTTGCAGTGATATAAATCCGAGACTATGTTGAATTCTTCTCATAACATCCTACAACTATCAATCATTGGTCTACTAAAAATAAATGGCTACTCAATTAAACATCAATTATTAACAACAATAACTATTGTTAACTAAATTGTACAATGACAAGTAACAACTGTCAACTGTGATCTTTCTGATCTTGATTTGTTTTGAGTTCTGTCCTTGTTCATGAAATCATTTTGGCCCAAAAAAATTCAGAAATCCTGACTGTCATCTGTAGTAACTCAAACAACACATGCATTCATCTTTCTTTTTCGAACCAGTAACTATCTAGAGTGTGTTCTACTATTAACCTAAGTTTTTATTTACAATACTTACTACGAGTAAAAGAAAAGGAAAGACTTACGCCTGATTGTAATATACTCTTGCTTCTTCTTCTACGACTTACTAAGCTTTGCTTTCTGCGATACTGAGTTAATGCTCATTAGAAGCTACTGTCCCTTCTCTAATATCAGATTCTTGGGCTCTCTTAGAACATACATAAGAAGCTCATGTGGGCTACTTGCCCTGAGTAAATAAATAAGCAAGGTAACAAAAAAAAAAAAAGATTAGACTCAGATTCTTGTGCAACGTTATGTTTGCAAGCCTCTTTCATCCCAGCACAAATCTTAGGTGGTTGCGAACAAATGCAAAAGAAAAATATAATAGAGAAAAAGGTATCAATTTATATTATCCTTTATTTACCTATGTGTTAAGCCAACAAATCAAAAAGCGTCTGTAGTCCAACGGTTAGGATAATTGCCTTCCAAGCAATAGACCCGGGTTCGACTCCCGGCAGACGCATTCTTTTTTTTTACATTTGAAATTTTTTCAAAATGCAAGATAAAATTCTATGAAATGACGAAATAGTCATCGCTCACACGAAGCAACTTTAGCTAAAGATCCAAACGCGTGAGCAGGGTGTTTTAGTAAATTTAATGCAACGAACTTTTCTAAAAAGACACAACGACACAAGTCCTTTATCTCTTTTGTCGTTTCGGTGATAGTTTCAATTCCGCGTCTCTCTCTATAGAAATCGAAAAGATCTCAGAGATACAACGAAGCCGTAAATCTCGTTTAGGGTTTTTGAACATTTGAAAAAAAAAAAGCATTTCTCGATCTAGTCTCTCTAGTTTTGTTTGCTTAATCGAATCCAATGGCGGGTTACAAAGCAGATGATGAATACGATTACCTTTTCAAAGTTGTTCTCATCGGTGATTCTGGTGTTGGAAAGTCTAATCTGCTTTCACGATTCACTAAGAACGAGTTTAGTCTCGAGTCTAAATCCACCATAGGCGTGGAGTTCGCGACTAGGAGTTTGAATGTTGATGATAAAGTCATCAAAGCTCAGATTTGGGATACTGCTGGTCAAGAAAGGTCTCTTCTTTTTCTCCATACTCTCCCCTCATTGTGCTCATTTCTTACTGAAACTTGATCTTAGATTAGATTAGATCTCTATCAATTGATTTAGTAGATTTATTGGCGTTACCTCTGTCAAAATAACAGATCTGGATCTAGTAGTTGTACAGGCAGCTCGAGAAAAACAAACATGGGTTCTGTCTTAGATAGCAGAATATAACGATTAGTTTAACCTTTTTATGTTGTTTTACTTTATATAAGATAGCTAGATTGGACTGTGTAATATGTTCGGTTTTTGGTTAGCCTTATTTATCAGTTAATTAATATTTTAAGTTGTTAATAGTACAGCTTTTGGTCTTGGTACTGTTTGGTTAGCTTAGTGATTCTTTAACCAAACTTTCTAATGGATTCGATTTCATAGGTACCGAGCCATCACTAGCGCGTACTATCGTGGAGCTGTTGGAGCGCTTCTTGTCTACGACGTAACCCGACACTCCACATTCGAGAACGTAGAGACGTGGCTCAAAGAACTCAGAAACCACACTGATCCAAACATCGTAGTCATGCTCGTCGGCAACAAATCCGATCTCCGTCACCTCGTGGCTGTTCAGACAGAGGATGCCAAGTCATTCGCCGAGAAAGAATCTCTTTGCTTCATGGAAACATCTGCTCTTGAATCCACAAACGTCGAGGATGCTTTCGCGGAAGTACTCACTCAGATACACGGCATTGTGAGCAAAAAGGCAATGGAAGCAGCGAGCGAATCAGCTAACGTTCCGTCGAAAGGAGACAAGATCGAGATCGGTAAGGATGTATCCGCTGTGAAAAAAGCTGGATGCTGTTCAAATTAGTAAGAGAGTGGATGGATCTTGTTGTAATGTTAACTACAGGAGGATCTCGGTTTTTGTTTAACTGTTTATTTATTCAAAGTCATTCGAATATTGAAAGATTGTTTTAGGTTTATTCATTGTCTTTTATCATGTGTTTCTGTTGATTATATAAATTTTATGGTTGAAATTTTATTTTGTCTATAACAAAACTCAATATATAATAAAATTCAATATATATAGATGTGTATATTATATATAATCAACATACATTAACACATGCATATCGATGATTCAGAATTCGAAAGCATAATCAAGTTTATCTACGGAACTAGGAGAGGTAGCATTGCTTTAGAGAAGATTTCTTGACTTTAAAATTTTCCATATACTAAAATAGAGCAGAATCAGATAATAGATCGTTTAGCTAGGATAGTTCATACTTCTCATCATAGTTTGAGTTCAGAATAACATTGTAATCTAAAAAAACACATATGCATATCACTATATCAACATAATGAAATATTAGTTTGATATGCTTGGTTCCGTTGCGGTAGCATTAGACCATCTCCAATCTCATTATATTATTTCCATAAATGGAATAATGACTTTTTGTTGTTCATTACACCATTTTGGAGTAAAATTATGGAGTGAAATTAGAGATACTCTTAGTAAGTTCATAACCTCGTTAGCTGATCACTGACTTAGCAGTCTAAAGGACAACATGATCCTAGTCTGGAGGCAAAAACGGCCTATTGTGATCAGTTTATGATCACATGATGTATTTTAAAATCAGTCAATATTCTCTTTGTGAAAATATTCTAAAATACATAAATTATATATAATTAGATTTTATTAAATAATTTTATTAACTAAATACTCTTGTGCTTTCAAAGCGCGTTAAAATCTAGTATTTTATTAAAAAAGAAATATGACATCTAAAAATGTTAGACCTGTGATGCTTATATCTTATGTTTTTTACCATAATTGTACCCTAAATTCTGGAATTGTCATCAATTGTAAGTCATTGCTTGGCTTTTGAAGATTTTTCATAGGATTTAGGAAATTGTATTAAATATGACTGAGTCTGTGGCTGTTCTGATGAGACAGTGAGTATTTATAGCCTTATAAGAAATGGTTTACATTAATATAGTTTAAATTTTGGGATGTATAATACTAGGGATGTTCAATATGGTAATACCGAACCGTACTGAACCAAACCGAACCAAAATAGACAATTTGGTTTGGATTTGGTATATACCATATAAACCGAATCGATATGATTTTATAAAAACCGATTTGGATATGGTTAGGTTTATAACCGATTAAACCGAATAAACCGATCAAAGAAAAAGTATATAAATATATACATTATATAACCATTTATTTTCTTGGAATAGTCTTTTTTTTTTTACTTTTTTATTCTTTGTGAAGATATATCTTAATAATTTTATTTTATTTTCTTCAACTATTATTTAAGTTTGATTTTATTTTGCATGTAGTAAGAAATTGTGAAATTAGATTGTACCATGTAATTTATTTGGAAGAACAAATAGAAAATAAGAAAAGCTATACAAAACTGAATCGTTAATCGTTTTGTTTGTTGTTAATTTCACATTTTTATATTTATGAACACCTAGGATTATTTTAATAAATGATAATTTTGACAATATGTTTTTTTAAATTCATATAATATGAAACCAAATCAAATAATAATGTTATTTGGTATAAAACCGAATAAACCGAAAACTGGTAGTATAAATACCGAACCAAACCAAATTAAATATGGTTCCAATATGGTAGCTAATTTTTATAAACCGAATAACCGAAAAACCGAAAAAACCGAACCGAAACCGGACCGAACACCAGATTCAACAGGCCTATATAATACAAATGTAAGAAAATAGGGACAAATAGTAGTATACAACAAAGATACCAATTAATATAAAGGAACATCCACATTAGTAAATACTCATTAGCTATATATCTCATCTATAGATGACAATATATATATATATATATATCAGAACACATGATATAATTTTGATTAATTCTATTAGATGTAATAAAGCATAAAATTATAAATTATGATGATATAAAGTCTATATATAATATAACATTATAAATTATTTTAATGAAATAACAAAAATAATTTAATTTAACGACCTAAAGATCTGTTAGTATTAACAGTTTAGTTATTAAAATGTCATTCGAATATGAAGATTTATTTTAGGTTGATTCAGTGCCCTTTAAATGTATTTATGTTGACTTGAAAATGATTTTGTTTCTGATATGTTGTCAAATTTCCATAACTCTATTATCTAAAAGGTAGAGATATAAAAGATAGACTTTATATGTTGTGTGTATGCAATGCTGGAAGAGTAATACTGTTACTTCAGTTTCTTGTGTGTTATGCCAAGAGCCGTTGGAAACCTTGCATCACCTCTTCTTTGAATGCAATTATTCAATGAATGTTTGGGAGAGTTTGACGAGAGGCATTCTTGGTAATGACTACACTGTCAAATGGGATGAGATTATTCGGTTGCTGGTGGGGAGGATGAGTTGGAGCAAAGTTAAGTTGTTTACTATGAGATATCTTTTTCAAACTATGATTCACTCTATTTGGATGGAGCGAAATAGGAAGAGACATGGAGAAAATGCTAATCCGTGGGAGGTTTTGAGGAGAAGAATTGACAAAAATATGAGGAATCAATTTACAGTGATCAAAAGGAGAGGAGATGGAGATTACAGTGAAGGGATGAGATATTGGTTTGAAACCAGATAGTTTTCATTAGCTTGTAAAAAGTCTTTTTAGATTGGCTGGTTTTACTCTTTAAAACAATTTGATGTAAGGTCTTTTTTTGAGTTTAAATTTAACATTTCAATTCAAAAAAAAAAAAAAAGATAGACTTTGATGATTTGGTTATATTTTAATTTAGTACTGTTTAACAACAAATAGAAAACCTAACATTCTGTTTCTTATAAAAGTTTTTTCTATTTTCATTGTACTTGTACATGTTTTAGATAGTCAAAATTTAATCCAGAGTATTATATGTCAATCAATCAACTTTTTATTTTTTATTTTTTAAATCTTCAACAAAAAACTCTCAAGAAAATTAAAGTACGACTGTAGAAATTTTTATTTCTACACCAGAATAATAATGTTTTAAGAAATTAAAGCAAATACATTTAAAACAAATAAATATACGTTTAAATTCTACCACCAAAAACATAAAGTAATCCTCCAATTAATCCTAAGATTTGTCTTTTACTGATTTGTTTTATACTTTATTATCTCAATTTTTTAATAATTCTTTATTATCTCAAATTAATGATGCTCGTAATCTTGAACTAGATATCATCAGTTTCATGTGCTCAAAATAATTAAAACTAACATGAACCAAGATCGAATTAAACCGAAACAATTCGGGTAGAACAAAAACTCAAGTGCAAGCGGCTGCGGCATCTATGATACTGAAGTCGAAGCTAGTGGCCCACACATATGTGAAGACGTAGTCTGATTTGTACCCGACAGCCTGTCCATCGATTAGGAGACAGTCGTTACCAGATTTAGACAACACCGATTTATCAATGGTTGTGACCGATTGGAAACCGGCGCATGACAACTTTACGTTCTTGAAATCGCATGGACATGGATTAGTCAATCTCACTTCCCACTCTGTTACGTCCTTATACAAATTGCCGGTCTGTGATTGTTTCAGCGTTAGATTGCTGCGGTCACACCCATATCCTTCCAAATTTTCAAAGGAAATATATTATTATCATTTTCTTTTAATTAGAGCAAAAATCATATAAGAAAATGTTTGTTTTTTTTTCTTTTGAAGTCCTAATATGATTTGATGATATACGAACATAACATGTAAACATGGGTTCAAACTTACTAATGGACACTATTTTGTTATAAGAAGTTTTATCCAAAAAGTGCATCTGCGAATTTTATGATATATATATCCAAGATATAAATGTAAGAGTAAATATAAATACCTTGAGTAACGAAGGTCACGAGGATGAGGAGGCAAAGGAGTTTGCAAACCATGTTAGGTCTTTAGAGTTTTTATCAGAGAATTTCGAAAACTATATTAAGTATGAACTGAGCCCGTGGCTGCTCAGATGTGATATTGAGTATATATATATGGAGAAGGCATAGGGTTTATATACAGCAAGAAATCAATTTAAAAGTAAGAGAATTCACAATAGTTAAGTACTAATTAGTTATCCAATACTAAATTATTTTTAATGTTATAAAATTTGAGAAACTGCTAATATTGGTGAGCTACCCATTTCATATTAATTAGAGGATTTCTCATAATATTGTTTCGACATTTATTAACTAACGTTTGTTTCATATAATCTGCAATACTAAGAATTTTATAAATCTTAATATTGAAAATATTAAAATCAATCTGAATAACTAAAAACATTCTAAATAATTTAATTTCAAATATAATATTTAAGCATAATTTTTGAAGATATGATGTCAATATATGACATACTGTTATAATGATTTTAAAAAGTATCAGAATATAATTTGTATCCTTTCAAAGCTTAGATATTTTTTCTGTATTAAGATTTTCTTTATAATTTATCCATTTCTTACTAAAATAACTTTTATTCTATCATACAAATCTCCTTAAAAGAATTTTTTTGATTTTGTTCTCTAACTAGTTTCTAAAAGTCAAAGTGCCAGAATATGTTTCAGTAAAGAGTAAATGACAATTATAGTTTCGTTTATTGTTTAAATAATTATTTATCAAAACTATTAATATGTAGATATTGTAAAACTAGAAAATAATATAATCAGAAATATTTTTCTTAAAGAAATTCAAGAAGACTTTCTAAACATGTATGATATTTTATTAAATTTGTAATTTTTTTTTTCGAATTCATGAATGCATTCATAAATGTGTAAATAAACTTCTTAAATGTATTTTGATGTATATTTAAGAAGTTCTTCCTAAATGTGAGTGAAATATTTTTATATTTAATTTATATACAGATTTAAGAAAATATTACTCAATATATAACATTTTCAAAATTTTACGCAGATGCTAATAAATATGTATTATTTGAAATTTAGATATGAAATTCAAAAAGACTTTCCAAAAACTTTAAAGATTTTTTACATATTTAAGAATATCTTACCAAATATACATATAATTCAAATTTAGTAAAGTATTCATAAATATATATTCATAAAGATCGTTCTGAATATACATTTAAATATGTATTTGTAATTTTATGAATATAGTATACATATTTATCAATATATTCTTACATTTTAGGAAGATATTTTATTTACTCATGAAATTCTTCAATATTTCAAATTCATGAACATATCATACACATTTAGAAAATTCTTCATATTTTTTAAAAAATAGCTTTCAAAAAGCTAGATGGCATAGAAGAAGGTTATGCCAATATGGATGGCTTGCCTGGAAACTAGCCATGTATGTATTGGGAAATTTCAGTTCTTAAAATTAAAGATTTATTTAGAAAATTTATGTAACTGTCATTTCATAAAACATATTTGGTTTGACTGCTGAAAGCTGTTTTGGAAAAATATTTTTGTTTTGTGCAAATTGAATCAATTTCTCTATTATATATATATATATATATATATTGTAAGTACAAGTTTTGATGTATGTTTAATCCATGATTTATTTGTTAACAAAAGCTTCGTTATATTTTCATTTCAACCAAAAAATAAAACTTAATGATTTATAATAAAAATAACTACTTTATCAATGTCATAATATACAATAGTTTACTTATAAAACATGGCTTTATTTATTTTTCATATATTTATTTAAATTATTTTCATATATTTGTTTTTTTGGGACAAATAAACTCAAAGTTGACACTTAAATATGACTCAGTTCAAACCCTCATTTTAATTATTCTTACATATATGATCAGCTTAATAAAAAAAGTTTAAGCACAAGTCTATTTTCAACATATTTCTTTGTTAAAAAAAACATATTTCGGTTTGCACACATGATATGCTCAAATTAACCTTTATGCTACTCTCTCAAATAAAAGGTTCGATGTAATACTTGAAGATCGAATCCACAAAGACAAAATCTTACACTTGATTTCTATGGTATCAATATTAAATTAAGACTACGAATGATTTTTAAATTAATAAAATAAAACAAACAAGTAACAAATTTGATTAGGGTTTTCAGATGATTAAGAATGCTAACCTAGGGCGCTTCATTGGGTGTTAATATGATGAACCAAACAATTATTCAAGCTCGGTTAAGAACAGTCTAAAACTCATATTTCTTAACTAGAGCACCTTGCTCTCACAGGTATGCTCCTTTCGCGGAGCGAGCATGATATCTATGCTCTCGCGTGGATCAACGCTCGACAGCAAACAGTAAACACAGACCTAATATGCTCACATCACACCCTGATATCTACTCTCGCTAATCAGGGATATGATGCTCGTTTATAACATATCTAGCAACCTAATTCATGGTTAATGATAAATAAACCTAGATTCAAACACCAGTGATTAGATTAGTATTAGCATTAAGAACAGCTATAAATGAAGACAAAAAGATGAAGCTTATCTATGTTCATTTCATGAATCAACACCTTAGAACCCTAGGCTAACAAGATCGACTACTCAGTCATAACAACAGAGAATACAGAGACAAGAGATGAAGAAAACATGAATATTATTGCAGATAAAACATAAATAGGGTTCAGAGGATTCTTCTCTAAATCGAGAGAGATGATCTTCTCCCTTTACAAGTATCAAAATCATGATATCCAAAAACTCTAGAGTTTCTTGTCTCTGAAAAGAAGCGTAGAGTGTCAAAGCAAATCAGAATAGAATATGTCTAGAGGCCACATGCGGCTGGGAGAAGAAAATAGAAAGACTAGGGAAAATCCCAAAATTAATTAGAAGTTTCCATAATTTTCGGGAACAAGTAGGGATTGACCCGTTTGGGTGCTCTGTTCAGGAGTAGGCAGGGAATTGCTCTGTTTGGTGATCTGCGATAAAAAAATTTCAATTTTCATTCTTTTCTTCATGTGTCTCTTCAAAGTTCTCATTACCTACTCTAGACCTTTAATGACTCAAAAAGAACTATAAAGACTCGAAAATACTTGAAAACAATTAATAAAACATATAGGCAAGATGTCAAAAACACCATATATCAACACAAAAATTCTTAGTTCTGATAGGCCTACTAAATTTTCCACAAATTTGTCTTTCTGCAACATATTTTCTCGTCAAATTCAGCTAAGAATCAATAGATCTGTTTTATTTGAATTACGGATTTGTTTCTTTTCAAGAGATGAACTTTTAGTTAAACCAAAAACAAACAATCAATCTTGTTAAAACTAAATTATTAATATGAACTAACCCTTAAATTAATATTTTAATTACACCAATATCACTAGAAACTAATTATAGTAAATATATATAAAAATAATGTTGAGAATTTCATATTTTATTAGTTTATAATGTTATTAATATATATACAAAAAACTCCTTTCTATATTAATATATTTTAAATTATATTTTAAGTAAAGAGAAAATGAATATTTGATTTAAACGGTATATTGTATAGATTAAATTTCATAAATACAGATTATATGTTAGTATTATTTAGTTATTTGGTGTGTACCAAATATATATTGTAAATGTAAACGCATTAGTGTAACAAAAAGTGTAAATGTATTTTAGATATAAAATGACAAAATTACATCAATATATTTAAAAAAGTTAAGAAAAACTATAGATAGATTTCAATATGAATAAAAGCAATATATACGACAGATTTTTTTATATATCTTAAATGCTAATTTATATTTATATTAGGATCATATATTTACACAAGATTTTTAAACAAGTATTATCTCATTAGCTTATGAAATTGTGTCATAATTTACATTTCCCAATTTGGAACTAGTGAAATTTATGAATTTATATTTTTAGTAATTTGTAGAGTATTAATTTATGAAGTTTCTAGTGTGTAATCCTAATTTTAACATTAATTATTATTAACCAAATATTCCTTAGAAATATCTTATATATTTAAAAAGAAGTCACAACTTTGATTTATGTGTGATTTTTTATGAACTATTCATTAAAAATATTATGAAGATTATCAAATGTTACATAATTTAGTGATAATATATTTACCTTACTATTTGAAATACAAATGAAATAAATCTAACAAAATCTTTTTGCTATCTTTTAAAATTGTATTTCCATAATATTACCCCATATCTTTATCTTTTATTTAAAATACAAAATTTTTTTGTTTAAAAATTAATCTTACATTATTTCTTCTAAAATAGAAAAAAATACGAATCAAATTGAAATTGTTTAAAGAGGAGAAAAAAGTCCTTGCCATATTTTAAGTGACAAGGTTGAATTTCAAAACTAATTAAATATCCTCAACACTACCTACAACTTTATATAACTTAGAAATATTAATTATTTAATATTTGACAGTATTAATATAAGAAAATTGTATGTGTTTCCTCATTTATAAAACTTTATCGCTTTACTTCGTAATATCAAGAAAAATCATGTATTATTTCATCCTAAGAAATAGCAGACAAAAGCTTATAAAATCATCGTTAAACCTTATTAATAGTTTATAAAAATATTAAAATATTTACTAAGCTTTATAAATAGGTTAAAAATTTGATAAAGTAATATATAACAAATTATAAATTATTTTCAATGTTTATAAATCAATTGTAAGATTCTTAAATACTAAACAAATGATAATAAAGATTTTAAAATATTTAACCGCATTAAGTAATAAAACCCCTCAACTAAAGATGAATCGTAACAAAAACCTTCAACTAAGGATTTAGTGAAATTAACCATCAACTTTAGTTCTGTTAACGTATGTTACCCTCTGTCTAAAATTCTGTGACGGAGGGTGACAAACATTAACGGAACTAAAGTTAAGGGTTTATTTCACTAAATCTTTAATTGAGAGTTTTTTTTACGATCCATCTTTAGTTGAGAAATTTTATTACTAAAAACCTAACTTTTATTGGTATATGAATATTAGTTGAGGGGTTTTATAACTACAATTATCAATTTCTTTAATATTAATGTATATGAATAATATAAAATTAACATAAAATAAAAACAATTAACATAATTACTACTTATTATATTACTTATCGTTTTATATGCCCTAAAAGTCAGTAGAGATATAAAACACATGTGTGAGGATCAGAATCTAGTATTACTTATTGCTGTATAAAATCTGGAGATTTGCAAGTTGAGGAGCTCAAAGAACATACGAGATAGTTCAAAACAAAAAAAGAAAGAGCATACGAGATTACGAATCAAGTGAGCTGCTCGAAGTGTAAAAGGAGACACAAAATTCGAGAAAGGACCTCAAAGGTTCTTGGAAATTTGGATTATACCAGGCTGATGTCAAAAAAAGAGAGGGTATTACTACAACATGAAATTCTTTAACATCCAGAAAAACGTTGAAGATTGAAGATTGAAATAAAGCTAAAGTAAACAAAAATCTATAAAAGATTAAAGTTTGTTTAGCCAGTGATGTTTTGAGACTTGTTGAGGATAACTCCTTCATACTTGACTTGGAACCATTTCATTGCGTCATCCTTGGTCACTCTGTGTTGGATACCAACACGAGCCTTGCACCTACGGCGACGAGCCACACGGTATCCTGGACGTTCGAGAACAACATAGAAGTCCATTCCATAGATACCAGTGGATGGATCGTACCTATATACACAAAAAAAGAAGAGATGAGAATCACAAAACAAGCATATTCCATTCCACAATCAAAGCAATGATGTCTTTATATTTAATATAAGACAAATCTGAAAATGTTACAAAACAGTAAATCTTCATATATTATCAAAATCCAAACCTAATCAATATACAAAAGAAAACGGTGAAGTGTTCATCTTTTATCAAGCCCAAACCAACATTGCACGAAACTAAGTAGCTTTCATTTTTAATCAAGGCCACAAACCTAACATCTTAAATCATAACATGCAGTGGAAACCCAATAATGTATCTCAATAAATGCAAACTAAACTAGTACAAGAAAAAAGACTTACTTGATACCAAGATCAATGTGTTCTTGGATACCGAATCCAAAGCAACCAGTGTCACTAAAGTTCCTCCTAAGAAGCTCATACTCCTTAACTTTCAAACCACTCTCGAGAAGCTGCATCGCCTTATCACCTCTAACAGTGACATAACACGCAATCTTTTCGTTACGCCTGATACCAAAAGACCTCACAGTGTATCTCGCTGTTACACAAAATCAATAAACATGATTAACAACTAATAAAACTAGAACTTTAATATTCTATGACATTGACATACCCTTTGAGAAAACAGGAGTTTGTCCACTGAGCTGTTCCAAAACCTAATAAAGACCAAACACAAACACACTGTCCTAAAAACCATGGCTTTGGATAACCGTAAAGTAACGATATTTATAAAATGGAAAGACAAAAGGGACCTTGGAGGCACGAGTGAGACGATCACCACTCTCACCAACGGAGATGTTGAGAACAAGTTTCTGGACCTTAATGTCCCTCATTGGGTTCGACAGCTTCTTCTCCGACGCCTACAAATTATAGATACAGAGAGAGGAAACAAATGTTAGAATATGAACAGATTGAACAAAACACATCATCATTGAACTCGATCAACGGGTAGAAAGGGGGAAAATACCATTGTAAGGAGATCAAAGTGGAGCTAGAAGAGAAGAGAAGAAGCAAAGAGAGTTGCGGAAACGAAAGCTGCGTCGAGGGGGAAGTGAAATGAGTTATATGGATTGAAACTAGGGTTTCTGTCACTCGAATGGGCCAAAATTTACAAAGCCCATAGACATAACATAATCTTAGGCGTTTATGGTCTTCTTAGTTATAAACACACCTTTTTGACAACTACTGTACTAGCCCAATAGGTAACCATGTTTTTTTTAAATATTCAAAAAAAAGAGAGTCACTTTGAATATTTTATTACACAATCAGACATTAATGACTTGAGACGCACTTTTTGAATCTAAAACTTAAACGTCAGTTTTAGGTGTTCAAAAAAAAAAAAAAACTAAACATAAGCTTTTTCCTTTAACATTTACTTTTTGTTTTTTTTTTTCTAATATACATCTTATACTACTTGCACAAAAACTTCATCGAACGTATGCTTCCCGCTTCAGAACCGAAATCAAAATCGGAACCTTGTGGAAGCTTACGGAATCTCGATTCCCAAAACGCTTCTAAAATATCATATATAAAAACACGTTGGAAGCTTGCGATTCTACTTTGGAATCACGCTTCTAATTTTAAAAATACAATATTATATATAAATAAATAAAATATAAAATCATTTTTATTTTTTTATAGTATATATAGTGAGAATATATATATGTAAATATTAATATTAATACGATAAATCATATGTATGCACTGTTTTTAGAGATATCACACACATATATATTTATGGTGTGCCAATTATTTATAAAATGTAAAAATAACTAATTGGTAATATTTGTTTATAAATTTAATTTATTTGTATTTTTACAATTATAATATGCAATCATTTAAAACTATAATTAATGAATAAATGTTTTATTTTAAATTAAAATCATATAATTCTTAGTTATAAATTTTATAAAATTTTCTTATATTTATATATATATATATATATATGTATATTTAGATATACGCTTCCAACATGTATCCGCTTCCTAATTTTTTTAAAATTCTCGATTTCGTATTTTCCTACGATCCTGTTTCTGTGCACCCGTTTCTGTGCATCCGTTTCTGTGCACTCGCTTCCGTTTTCATGTAACATAGATTTTATATAATAAAAGAGAGTTTTTTCTCTTCTCTTTCCTTCACATCAACTATAAGCATGGGGCAGAAAGAACGTGTGGTCTCTCCTTTAAAATTTTCTATTTCGTTGATGAGATTTTCATTGTTTTGGTCCATTAAAACACATTAAACCCATCACAACTAAAATAATAAGACACTTTATACGCAACCCAGTAAGGTCTACCTATGTTCTCTAACTCTTTGTCTTCTCTGTTGTTTCTCTTAGATGGTCTCATGATCTTATCGGCATTGCCAAAACTGGTTCAGATTCGTAATCCCTAATTCCTGATAATCTTTAAATAAGTCGACTTCAAAGGCCCCTCTCCGCCACCTATTTGATAATCTCTAATTCCTGATACTATAAATAAGTTGTGAAGCCCTCTCCAAATCTCACTGATTCATCATATTCATTTGATTGTTTCGTTACAACCTTTGATTGCGACAATGGTTACCTCTACGATAAGGTAATAATATTATCAATATTTTCGGATTATTTTTAAAAAATGTAAAATTATGATTTTACATATGTTTATTGTAATATTTCTATTTCTAATGATTTATATTTACATTTTTTTTTAATCTATATGTATCATGGTAATCTTACATATGTTTAATGTAGTATTTCCATTTATAATGTTGTATATTTACATATATTTATTATTTTCAAAATTATATTTATTTGTGATATTAAAATGTAAAATTATATATTATATTAATATTTTAAAAATGTAAAACTAAACATAATAAATTAATAATATTAATGATGCCATGTAGCATCTTTCGAAAGTCAATTTTTACTCTGATGTGAAAGTACCCTCCATGGAGATCCATGTCAACTTTTACTCAAAAGATCCTTTACATCCTTAGAACAAGACCCAAGCTACTTGAAATACAGCCCCTTCTAACGAGAATCAAAACCCAAATTATTTCAACTCCTCGTTGGTTCAATCATTATTATTTTCAGTAGGAAAACTTACCATTGTTGATCTTGCTGGCCAGATCATTTATAGGTTGTGGCACAACCATAGGATGAGGAGGAGGAGAAGCCGCCGTAAAATTAACAAAAGAAGCCACAGAGAACGAACCCATTTCCATCCGGAAATAGCAGCTTGGCCGCAGAATACGAATTCCTTTCTTCGTAATACAGCATGGCTAAGAGTACTCATATGCGCTCTGCCTCAGGCAAGCCCTACAGACATCTTTGAAAGGTGTCAAGGCTGCGATATTAGCCGTGTAATGGTTATCACTAGAGGATGGTGTGCTTCTTGACATGGATGCTGCGTCAACCATACGAACAGCTAAGTCTTCCCATATCTTCCTGAACTCTGTTAGATCTGTGGTTACATTTGCACCGTGTGTGATGGTATCCCTCGGATTTAGATTTACAGATCCTAAGAAAGAAGTGTTTGAGTAGGGAACATGGCAAAGCGTGGGATCACTTGGCCATGAATACGCTTCTGTTTGGTTTGGACATTTTTGTAACAAAGCATCAGAGGTGGTTCTGATACAGTTAGATCATTCAACTGGAACTGATCCTTGCAATCACATTTCTGTTGCGTAGATACGGAGACGTTGTAGAAGAGACCCTTTTGAGCCGTGACGTTGGAGGGGAGATAAGAAAGGATGAGACGGCGGTTTGCGTCGTAGCCTCGTAGGTGCCGTTGGGCGTGAAAACCATCCCATTGCTGGGACATGTTTCTTCTGAAAAAAGAAGCAGCAGCGAAGCCTATGAGGAAAAAACAGAGGATTGAAAACAAACTCAGCTGCTTCATTTTTTTTGTAAAGATAATATTACAAAAGCAAAAACCTTTGTTTTTAGTAGTCACTCCTAAAGTTCGTTTCCTAAACAGCAAACCGAAGTTTCCCACCGAATGTGTCTAACGTTGAATTCGTCAAAAGTCAAAAGTCAAAGTCTAATGGTAGTGTTGAAGGTTCAAATGTGAACCCAGAAACTTGACACAAATGATACTCCATGGAGAAGGACACCAATGTGTCTGTTTGGTTTGATAAGTAAACCAGTTTTGGTTATCTATAGTTTGGTGCTGAACCAGGGTCATGCACTTGATCAGTTGATCAAGGCCTTGTTAACTGCAAGAGACAGATTAGCAACGAACCAGTAACGTGCGCGACAAATATCAGCAGTGGAGTCGAAACCGACAGATAAATACCTATTTTTTCCTCCTGTATTTTACTTTTCAAAATCCAGATTAAAACATTAAACAAATAACTTTAATTGCTTGTTATGTTTTTTTTTTACAAAACCGAGTGGATTTTAATGTTAAAAACTTTCAACTAAATTTGGTTACGGCAAAAATTTATAAGTTAAATTAATGGAGTGGATTTTTCGTCTACAATACTGGTAAAAAACTGATTGTACCAGTAAATCTATAACTTATGGGTTTCTATCCAATTTAACGTTACAACCCCAACATACAATAAAAGTTATATAAAATTTTATTAATTGTCTTTTATTAAATTAACACTTCAAAAAAAAATTATGCAAATAGATAATCCATGTATGCTTTATAATCTACACTATATACAACAAAGTTTGATACTATTTTTCTAACTTACATACTTTTGGATCATATTTAAATCCAAATTAAACTTGATTTCTTATGTATAAAATTTAAATAGAGATTAAAATATGTTTCTGAAAACTCGAAAACCCAATAAAATCTTTTCTTAAGATAATATGTTAGAACATCTCTATTTCACTGCTGTATTTTACTTCAAAATAGAGTGGAATATGTAAGGAAGAACATTTAAGATAAGAGACTGTTGATCCAATTTGAACCTGCAAAGAATTGCAATCAACATTACGTTAATTTTGTGCCACATCACTCAAAGGCTTTCAAAATTGACAACATAAGAGCATCTCCAATGTATTACTTCATTTTTTACTTTAAAATAGAGTAACTCCAAAATGCAGTTGAGTTTTACTCCAATGTATTACTCCATTTTCTACTCCAAAAGAATATTTTTAATATTATATTTATTACAAAATTAGGAATATCACCTTTCATTTATACTATTTGCAAAACAGTCCATTTTAAATTTATTGCATTTCTATTAAATACAATATTAACGATAATTAAATTTTTATTATATAAATAAAACTACTCAACAAGGTTTTAAAAGAATACATTTAATACATTAAAAATTACATTATATAGCTTAAACACAATAATACATCAATTCTAAATTATTCATTAGAATTATAATAATTTTTCCACAAATGATCAACTAATGCATTTCGAAGTAAAAAATGAGCTTCTTTATCTTTGATTTCTCTGAAATGGGAAATAAACTTTTGGAACCTCACATTATTATTTTCTTCAATTTCAATTTTCCTTGACAGGACTTCTCTTTCAACTTCAATTGGCACCTCGAGATCACAATCATCTTCTATTATCATGTTATGTAAGAATTTAATAATATTTTATCGGATTATTTTAATAATTTTAATGGATCCGAAAATGATTTATCGGATTATTAAGCAATTATATTTGTTGTAAGTTTTATTTTATGTTATTTCTTTTGTGTGGTGCTTATCTTTCATTTTCTATATGTATGATCTTTTATGTTTTATATTATATATATTATGTTGTATAAAAGAGTTCATCATATGGTTATTTATATAATTAAAAAATATTAACAGTAACTTTTATAATATATATAGTAAAATAATATTAATATACTTATTTATAATAATATTTTTATTTAAGACGAGGCTATTTATATAATTAGGAATATTAACAGTAAATTTTCTAATATATAAGAAAATAATATTAATATACTTATCTATAATAATATTTTTATTAAAAATGAGGCTATTTATATAATTAAGAAATATAACAGTAAATTTTATAATATATATAGTACTTATTTATAATAATATTTTATTAAAAATGAAACATATATAAATGTGGAGGACTATTTGATAAATAAAAAAGTTCAACTCCATTTTGGAGTAATGAGTTGGTTTACTCCATATTTGGAGTAATCATGTTTGTTACTTCATTTTGGAGTGAGTTTTGGAGTAGGGTTGGAGATGATTTTACTGCAAAATGGAGTTTAGAGTGGGTTTTGGAGTGGGGTTGGAGATGCTCTAAAGAAGCCTTAAATGGCGTACCAACAATTTAGATGGGTTTCTAGAAGCCTTCAGTGGTGTTCCAGCGAAGTCTTAAATGATGTACCAGCAATTTAGTTGGGTTTTTAGAAGCCTTCAATGGTGCAACAGCAATTTAGTTGGGGAATTACAATATTACAATATTGCAAGAAGACTGAAAAATAAGTCGCTGAGTAGAAAAAGGCACCGAAGCCTTCAATGGTGCAACAACAATTTAGTTTGGGGAATTACAATATTACAATCTGTAAATTTAATTCATTCCATTATCCTACCAAATAATTATATACAGAAATATTATTTTGTAATTTTTACAATAGTTTTATTTATTGAATTAATTATATTTTTATTAGAATTTTAAAAGCTAAATAATGTTTTTATTTTGTGATAAACTATTATTTTATTTATTTTATTTTTTTGACATCGAAATAACAGATTCATATAAACTCTACAAACCAAACCGGCAGCTCTGTATCCATGTGAACAACGAAAGAAGATTGTTTCCTCGCATTGCGTGCTAGACTGGTACATAGATGATTGCCGAGCTGTGAAAACTCATTTTTAGCATCTTGATATCCTCCAAGTCCAAATAATTTGTAAAGACTGGTCATTCTTCTGGTTTCGAAACCATCTTCACCAACTGAGAACAATCTTATGCAAACGTAACGTGAAATTGACGCAAATTCCTCATACTCTCCATCACTAATTACTTTATTTTTATTCTGGGGATTTTTTATTTATTTTTTAAATGTTCTTATATTCTATTTATGCAAATCGAATGGAATATCTAATTAAAATATAAAAAGATTCTGATATTCGGGACATCAAATTGAATATCTGGATAGGTACATATCAAATTAGACTAAATAATTGATTGTTCCGACGAAATGGATCGAATCACAAAGCCTACAAGAATCCAAGAATCCGGATATACTCCTTGCAACTACAAATATACAGGTCCTATGATTATCAATAGTGGACTTGTTTAGTGTTTTAGACTTGGGCTTTAAATGAATTATGAAAGGATTTGAAGATTATTTTCTTTTAATATTGGGCTGAAATTGTATTTTCTTGGTTTTCATTAATAACGTTCTCTTGTTTGATGACCAAAAAAAAAGGTTCTCTTATCTCACATTCACACTACGAGAAACGAAAGTCATCATCACAAAGACTTTGCATGATTCACCAGTTCAAAGGGCAATATTTAAGACAGGACATCCCGCAAGTGAACAGATAGTGTAACCATTTCCAAAAGAGTACTCATGTTGAACTCTTAATACTAATACTAATACTAATACTATTACCAATATCTTCATTCTCTTCATGGTATAAAAACTAAGAATAGGGTAACAAATTCAGTAGAGACGATAAAGACATATTTGTTAGAGTAGAAAAAATAAATATTTATATGTTTTTACGTTCAACTATCTATATCCATTACCAACATCCATGTGTCCTCCTTGGTTCTTAGCAGAAGTCCAAGAGATATAAACTATTTTACTATTTGAGCTGTTTGTAAACATATCAAATTCTTTAATGAAGAGACCATTAAAGAAAATTTCCTTACGTACTGTAAAAAAAATTGCCTTAGGCCTTCGCACGGCACTGATGGAGTATCATTTGTGTCGTCAAGTTTCTGCGTCCACGTTTGAAAATTCAACATTACGCTTGACTTTTGACAAGTTAGCCAATAGAACGTTAGAAATATTGGGACTATTTAAGAAACGAACTGTACAGAGGGGTGATTACAAAAAAAAAACAAAGGTTTCTGCTTTTGCAATATCATCTTACAAAGAAAAAAATGAAGCAGATTAGTTTGTTTTATGTCCTCTGTTTTGTTCTCATAAGCTTCGGTGTCGCTTCGGTTGCAGCAGAAACATGTCCGAACAACGGAGGTTTCACGCCCAACGGTACCTACGACGCAAACCGCCGTCTCATCCTCTCTTATCTTCCTTCCAACGTCACGGCTCAAGAAGGCCTCTTCTACAATGGTTCCATCGGACAAGAACCAAACCGTGTCTACGCAACAGGGATGTGCATCCCAGGATTAAAGCCAGTTGACTGTTCTGAGTGTATCAAGATCGCCTCTAATGGTTTGATACAAAAATGTCTCAACCAAACAGAAGCGTACTCATGGCCAGGTCAATGCTATGTGCGCTACTCCAACACTTCTTTCTTTGGATCTGCAGAGCTAAGTCCGAGAGATAGTGTCACCAACGGTGCAAATGTAGACTCAGATCTAGCAGAGTTCAGGAAAATATGGGGAGACTTAGCTGTTCATATGGTCAATGCAGCATCCACAGCAAAAAGTACACCATCCTCTAGTGATAACTATTACACAGCTAATATGGCAGCCTTGACACCTTTTCAATATATATTTGCAATGATGCAATGCACGCCGGATCTTTCGTCTGATGATTGTAGGACTTGCCTGCGACAGAGCACATACGAGTACTCCCTGCCATGCTGCAGTACGAAGCAAGGAACTCGTGTTGTGCGTCCAAGCTGCTATTTCCGGATGGAAATGTATTCGTTCGCTACAGATTCTTTTGATAATTTTACAGCGGCTTCTCCTGCTCCTGAGGCTGTGCCACAACCTGCAGATGGTCAGCCCAGCAAGATTTACAATGGTAAGTTTTCTAATTGAAAAGGGGCTTAACGATCTATTTTCCCTTCAAAAACTATCATATAGTACTATACATTAAGGGTCTGACTGGTTACAACGCAGTGATTGCGGGAGATTGCAGTTTTAAACGTTAGTAAGAGATTTATACGACTGGTTCAACGGTTAAAAATTGTTGCGTTTTCTGGATACTTATGACTGGTTTATCATCAAATACAACATCGGTTAAGTAATAAATTAACAGTATTTATATTTTATATAATTATCAAAATATTAAAATCATTTTTTTATAATCAATATAAAACTTTTATTGAAAAAACTGCACTATTAAATTATTAAAAATTAAAGAAAATATTTTTTTGGAAATTTTATAATATAAATATTTCAGTATTTCAATTATCTTAATTTAAAATTTTAATTAAATATTTTATTTTTATATTTATATAGTTTTTTGAAAAAAAAAATATTTTTTATTCTCTCGCAATCGTCCGCAATCGCAAACGCTAGCTAGAACCAGCTTTTGAATTTTAGAGATTCAGAACGATTTGAAACGGTTTACAATATTTTCTGTGATTGTTGCAAAACGCCAACAACCGCTAACAACCGCAAAAGCTGTGTTTACAGGTGATGGCAGGAGAACTAATTAGACCCTAAGACTTCATTTTGTAGTTATAAGAAGAATTAAAATATATGACATTGTTTTTCTATGTTATGAGAAGATAGCAAAAGACTCTCAGCTGGAACTGTCGTGGCGATTACCCTTGCAATTGCTGTTGGTGTCTTGATACTGATTGGTCTTGGTTATGTCCTATTCCGGAGGAGAAACTCATACGAAGGAACTCATATTGAAAGTTAGTATCTTGTGTGTGTTAGCTCTTTTTGTTGGAAACAAAGCATAACTAATACACCTTGCTTTGCAGCTGATAGTGATATTTCAATTACACATCCATCTCAATATGACTTTAAGACAATTGAAGCAGCAACAAACAATTTTTCCAGGAGTAATAAGCTCGGTGAAGGTGGATTTGGAGAGGTTTACAAGGTAAAGAGGTCTTTGTTTTCCATTTTTCCCTATAGGTTATGAAAAATAACTGGTCATGTTTGTTGCATTCAATGAATGGTATGTAGGGCACACTTTCAAATGGAACTGAAGTGGCTGTGAAGCGACTGTCGAAAATGTCAGGACAAGGGACAAGAGAGTTTAGGAACGAGGCTGTGCTTGTGTCAAAACTTCAACATAGAAATCTTGTTAGGCTTCTTGGATTCTGTTTAGAAGGAGAAGAAAAGATTCTCATCTATGAGTTTGTCCCCAACAGAAGCCTTGACTATTTCCTATTTGGTATTGTTACCTTCTATGTTTTTGTTATTTTAGAAGGGTTTCTTTCTTCGGCTTTTAAACTGAAGGATTGATCATACATGAAAGTGTGCAGACCCTGAGAAGCAAGGTCAGCTAGACTGGACTCAGCGATACAAGATCATTGGAGGGATTGCTAGAGGAATTCTTTATCTTCATCAAGATTCACGGCTCACAATCATACATCGTGACCTCAAAGCAAGTAACATTCTCTTGGATGCTGATATGAACCCAAAAATTTCAGATTTTGGATTGTGTACGATCTTTGGAATAGATCAAACTCAAGGAATTTCCAACAGAATTGCTGGAACCTAGTAAGTTATGCTCATAATGTTGAAACCACACAAAAGTCTGTAAAGTCTTTTTCTCTATTGCATGTTAACTAGACTTGTATGTGTTTTCAGTGCTTACATGTCTCCTGAGTATGCATTGCAAGGTCAATTCTCCATGAAATCTGACGTTTACAGCTTTGGAGTCTTAGTTCTCGAGATTATAAGTGGAAAGAAAAACAGTAGCGTCTACCAGATGGATGAAACTAGTACTGCTGGAAACTTGGTCAACAATGTGAGCATAAAGACCTCAACAGTATAACATATTTTAAACATGGTGACAAATGGGGATATGTTCTTTTTTTTGTTAGGCTTGGAGGCTTTGGAGAAATAGGTCACCACTAGAATTGGTGGATCCGGCAATTGGAAGGAATAATCAGAGTAACGAAGTCACTAGATGCATCCATATTGCGCTCTTATGTGTTCAAGACAATCCAGAAGACCGTCCAATGTTATCAACTATCATCCTGATGCTCACTAGCAACACAGTCACTCTACCAGTGCCTAATCTACCGAGTTTTTTCCCGCGTAGCAGGCCCCAATTTGAGCCGCCATCTGAAGGATCCGAATCAAGTCGATCTACAGTAAAATCTGTTGGTTGTTCTATCTGTGACACGACAATTACTGAACTAGAGCCTCGTTGAAGGTAGAAGTGATTCTCTGTGTGCAAGTCTGAATGATGCTTTTTGTAACATTTCACTACCATTGAAGAACATTATTCAATACTTTGTTTTGTCATGTTTCATGTATTTCAAATTCAAGAAGAATAATTGTCCTTTTTTTTTAAAAAAAAGAAGATTAATTGTCCTCTCAATTCTTGTCATTGCTTCTTTACTTATTCTCCAATGAACTCAGTTGTTCATAGTCTCAACAGTAACTCTCTGCCTCTTCCAGTTCAACACATGCATTTGTTGCTTATACTGATTCAGGTGAAGCCTCTCGGATTCGCCAGGTCAAGTCGCTGAGCTTGAGCCACATTGAAAGATTGTTTTAAACCGGATTATTATACGCGTGTATTAGTAAAATCTATATTAATTTTTGTTGATTTTAGTTTCATTTTTAGCTAATATTAAAGATCTAATGAAATTAGACGGTTGCAATCGAACCTATGCTTGATGATAACATATTTATACAACGAAGATAGAAATGTTAAGCGACGAGACTCGCTCATAGTGAAAAAATCGTGAAACAATTGCTTGGTTCGTCTACATTTTTACACAGTCAATTCTGAACCTAGAGAAATCAAGACATGAATTATCTGATTGAGATTTCTCTAATGGAAACTCTAGATTTAATGCAAACACAATTTTTATCATTTTTCTTTTTGTTTTCTTCTAACAATATATATGTAGACGTTTATAGTACTGTGCATAATACATTATTCTATTTTATGTTTACTGTATACTTTCTCTCTTTTTTCTAAAAAAGATTTAGGTGGTGACTGAGAAATTATAGCGTAACACAGAGGAAAACATATGGTTAAAAATGGAATAACACAAACTGGGTGGAAAGAAAAAAGGGAAATTACACGGTATATATAACAAAAAAATTATATTTCACCGCATAACCAAATCTAGCACACATATTTACTGTCTATAGTTTATGTATAATACCCAATTTCTCACATGTAACTGGGACACGTATTGCTGGAGTTATATAAAAAGGGCAATATACAGTGAAATCTGGATATTGTGTTGCACGGAATATATTGATGAAGGAGGAGGAACCGGTAGTTTGTGAACGTAGTAGCATAAAACTCCAACCACATGCTTGGGAGGTTAATGCATCCCAAAAGATGTTATATCTTATGTGGCAAATAATAACAGGTCATGTTCAACTATAGACCTATGAGATGTGATAACCATTGTTCACGATGTGGGGAACCAGAAGAATCAGTTACACATGCAATCTTTCAGTGTCCACCGGCAATGCAAGTTTGGGCCTTATCATCTACGCATACCAACCCTACTTTGTTTCCACTACATAGCACATATGCAAATATGGACTATCTCTTCTGGAGGAAAAATGCCATAATGGAACCGGAATTGGATAGAGATCCTTATCCCTGGCTAATATGGTATATCTGGAAGGCTCAGAACGATAAGTTGTTCAGAGGAATGATAGAGATCCATTGGAGTTAGCCCGTTATGCAGAGAGTGAGTGTCAAGCCTGGTTCCAAACCAACAAACATATTATATCGCCATCTCAAAGAAATATAGATGTTGAAAACCAAGCCATAAGTCTGAGAAATATTTGTATGATAGACAGTTCTTGGACCTCTACAACTCAGTTCAGTGGATGTGGTTGAGTTTGGAATGACAGTATGGGAAATAGTCAGTTAATGGGTATGCGTAATATGGATAGAGTGGAGTCTACTTTGCACTATGAGCTGGAAGCACTGCGGTGGGCAATGGAGAATATGTTTCAACATTCGCCATGTCAGAGCTTTGGAACAGACTGCAAGGAGATGATAACGATGCTCAGAAATCCTCATGATTGGCCAAGCTTCTCAACGGAATTGGAAAAGCTTATGATGCTGCGGATTTGTTTCCCAGATTTCAAGATCTTCTATGTTTCTAAAACTCAGAATGGTGTTTTTGATTCTTTAACTAAGATTGCTCGATCTTTCTATCGAGAACTTTTGTATATTGGTGGTTCTATTCTGGTATGGCTTTCCAGACCACCTCAAGCTTGAATAATAGATCAGCCTTTTGATGTAAAAAAAAAAGATACAATCTACAATTAAAAAATTAAAATAATAATTACACATGGGAGAAAAGTTACATGTGGTCATCAAAGAATCACCAGTTTATCCAAAATAACTTTTGCTTCATAAATATTAGAGAAGGTGAAAAATTTACAGACGAGATTTACAAGATTGGCGTTACAGAGAAAGCAAACTGGAGATCCAATCCTCGACAATTTAATCACACCAGCAAAAGAACCTTTCGTTTTTGGTAGCCACTAGTCATTTATTCCGGGAGAGCCCCGTTGAAAACGAAGTAATATGCAAAGAGGAGAAGTTCGTCGGTTAGCTTCTAATCGAAGGGAGAGCATTTTTACCGGAGAATCAGTATCCTTCGGTAAGTTGGGTTTCTGATATTCAGATTAATCAGTATAAATTTGAAACCATTAGATCTTCTTTTTATTGTTGAGTGTCTGTTTATCTTCTCTGTTTTCTACGGCAACTAAACATACAACTATTTATTTTTTTTCCATTCTATTTCATGTTCTCTACTTGATGCAGCGCATAGTAACTTCTTCCTTCCTCGGTTCTGTTCCTAAACCGAGTTCTGTTTTGGTTTTCATTTAACGTTTTGGGTTATTGGTTTTCCTTTTAATATTTGGCTTTGGTTTTCATTAGGATAATCCTTATCTTAACCAATAAGCTAGGGTAGTTAGTCTTTATATATTGAGTTATGTTCTCTTGTAGAAACCACGTTATTATTGAATTATACAAGAGCTTTTACAGTTCATCTTCTTCCTTGCTTTTCGGTATTCGTACGAATCAACGACGTTCGGGTATTCTAAAGACTAAACGAACCTCTTGTGAAAGCTTACGCTGCGCCAGTTTGGTATCAGAGCAAGCACGTTCCTGAGAATTTTTTTTCTTTTTTTCACAGCAATTTTACTCTGTTTCTATGGCTCCTCGTCGCAATAACGCTGCAGAACAACCACTTAACGAGTGGAAAGAGTTGAGGCGTACACTTATTACGATGCAGGAGAACACTCAGCTGATGATCCACTCCTCGATTCAAGATCTTTCGGAGTCTATTCACCGACGCCTGGATCGCATGGAACGACAAGCCCGCCCGGAGCGAGTTGGTAGGAACCAAGAGCGTGATCGTGTTTGAGATATCTCTGAAGATGGGTCAACCAAAGTGGAAGATAGCCCTTTCGCAGAAGAAGATCATCGCCAAGAGATCCGTTGAAACATTCATGGCCGTGGTCGTGAAGATCGTAGTTGGGAGGTGGGTTTTAAGGTGGAAATCCCTGAGTTTCACGGTGGCGTTCGTGGAGAAGAACTCTTGGATTGGATTGTGGCAGTACAAGAGATGTTGGAGTTCAAACGTGTTCCCGAGGATCACAAGGTAGCTTTGGTTGCTACTAAGTTCAGAGAGAAAGCCGCTTCATGGTGGCTTCAGTTGAAAGCATCTCGGGCTCGAGCTGGCAAAAGCCATATTCAGACTTGGGAGAAGTTGGAAAAAGTGATGCGAGCTGCGTTCTTGCCGTACAACTTTGACAGAACAATGTACACGCGACTTCAAAATCTCCGACAGGGATCACGATCTGTTGATGACTATGCTGAAGAATTTTCGTTGTTGCTGACTCGGAATGAGATATTTGATAATGAAGTTCAATTGGTCTCGCGTTTCACTGGAGGGCTTCGACCTCAACTACAGAACGCAATGTCCCAGTTCGATGCTCTCACAGTTTCTGAGGCGCACCGCAGAGCTGTAGCATTTGAACTTCAGTTTAAAGCTTCATCGTCAGGGTGGAACGCGTCACAGAGTCCTCGTGCTAACTCATCCTCTACAGATACTGCACAGGCTGTAACAAATTCGAAAGATACAGGGGAAGCAGCAGGTGTGGTGACTCGTTCAGCTAACCACAACGCAGCAGAGGAGCCACGACGTTCGTCGCGTCCCAACGCGTCGCGTTGTTTTGCGTGTGGTGAAACCAGACATCGACAAACAGCCTGTCCAAACACTACTCGGCGTGGGTTACTGGTTGATGAAACTAAATGGGATGAAGATAACACCGACAACAATGAAGACTTGATAGTAGACATTGTTGATGATCAAAACACGGGAGATAAAGGTCTTATGTTGATGGTGCGGAGGATTTGCATGGCACCTATGCGCCAAGAAGAACAATCATGGCTGCGTACAAACATCTTCACCTCCACATGTACGATCAAAGACAAAATTTGTCGCTTTGCCATTGACTCTGGTAGTTGTCGTAATGTAATTTCTGAAGAAGCAGTGGTGAAACTTGGTCTCTGTCGTACTAATCACCCTTACCCTTATAAACTAGTCTAGTTGAAGGAGGGTACAGAGATTCGAATTGTGCATCGTGTTTTGGTGGCGTTCTCCATCGGTTCTCATTATCAAGACATAATTTACTGTGATGTAGCTCCTATGGATGTCTGCCACTTATTGTTAGGACGACCATGGCAGTATGACCGTGATGTTTCCCACAGTGGCAGGAGTAACATTTATTCTTTCTACTTCGACAACAAACGTGTCGTCTTACACCCAAGTCGTGAGACCACGTTACTCCCACCAGCGCCACCGCAGCATAACCACCTACTGGAAGGCACATGATCGAGTGACACCGTCTTACTCTGCTCATATGCTGCATTTACTTCTGAGTTCCGGGAGGAAGGAGTTGCGTTTGCCCTTGTCTCAGTAGCAACTTCAACCTCGCCACAGAAGACAGTTGACCCTGCTATCTCAGCACTTCTCGCGAGTTTTGACGATGTGTTCCCTGGAGAGTTACCACAAACACTCCCACCATTGCGCGATATTCAGCACCACATCGATCTAGTCCCAGGGGCGAGTTTACCTAATAGACCACACTACAGAATGAGCCCCCAAGAGCATGAGGAGTTGCGCAAACAAGTCGAAGATCTTTTAGCTAA